ACTAAAGGTCTCGATTCACAACAGCGGCGCAGGAGGATTTCTCCCGGAGACCCTCTCCAAATGTGCCAGTAAACCTGAGACATTTTCAAATGTCTATGGGGAGAGTGATGCAAAGGGAAGGCCCAGCAGAAGCGTCAGGAAGTCATACAAAGAGCACCCGGCAGCAGCCGCGGGAACCCCCGCTGCCCCTGAGGAAGGAGCAGGGATGTCATCTGGACGGCAGGGATGTACTCACTGTGACGCCAGCAATTGCAATCCCAACGATTCCAACTAAGTGCAGATGCGAGTTCGTTACGCTCTGGATTTCCTCCAGGCAGTTCTAGTGGAAACAGAAGACAGCCCCGCTCAGCTCGGCAGGAACGTTTCCAGATCTGCTCCCTTCGTTCCCTGCTTCCCACTGCTCCGCTATTCAGCACCTGGACCTGGAGGGTGCCTTGTGCTCTCCTGGGCATTTCAGACCAGCAGGAAACTTCCCCTCCCCTTCTGCCAAGGCATCAGCATGCCCTAAGCTGCCAGGAACCCCTCTCCGGGTGCTGCCCACTCCTTTGTACATGCCCCCCAAGAGGCACTCGCAAGGGATCCCCCGCTTTATCCTCACGTTCTCCAGGAGCTGAAGCCAGCTCTGTGGCTGGCACAATGGGGATCTGCCCATTCAGGCTAAGTGGAGCAGGTTCCCTGCAAGGCAAAGCGAGAGCATTCTCTCTGCCCTCCTGGCAGGGACGCGGGCACGCAGTCACAAGTGCTTTTCACGGAGACTCTGAAGGTCCTGACACTGCTTCCACTGTCTCTGCTCCCTTGCCTGGGGCTGTGGCAGGCTGCTGGCTGGAGGAGCCTGTTCTCCTGACCCTCAGCCCTCAGAGGACGGGGTGGTGGGGGCCTGCAGGGCTGAAAGCAGCTCAGACTTTTCTGAGATCTGAGTTCAGCTGAACATTTCTCCAGCCTCATCTCATGGGACCGTGACACAGAATAGCAATTTTTGAAACACTGGATGCCAAACAGAGCCATGCCCCTTTCCATCCACCCGTCTCCGTCCTTCCTCCTGCTGCTTTGGTTCCTTGCATCAAGAAGCTTCTCCCTCACACTGACGTGTCTGTGGGGAAAGGCCCCCGAGACAATCTGATGGGTGGATGCTTACCTTGGGCAGATGGATGCCCTCTGGACAGGTGGGTTTCACCTGATCCTCACTGTCTTTGCCTTTACCACAGCACTGAAACTAGATGGTCAAGAAAGGGAGGAAGAGGCAGTGTCAGAGCAGAGGAAGCCCCGGGCCCGTTTCCTCCTGTGGCTCTGCTTTCACCCCAGCGGCTGAGCTGGAAACAGACAAAGATGTACAGAGGCAGAGGCAGGGCCATGTCCCTCCGCAGCAAATTCCCAGCCTGGGGAGGAGTTTCCCCAGCAGTGAATTTGGTCCAGACTCAAAGCTCAGATCCCGTGTCTGACGTTCTGGAACACGGGTGTAAAGAGAGCTTCCAAGGGGAGGCCTGCCCCGGCTGCAGAGTCCAGCAACACAAGGGACCAACTGCACTGCAGGCCCCGGCATGCTCTGAACCCCACGGGCTTTAAATCCCTCTGCTCCAGATGGAAGTGCTCATGTGGGATATGCTGGAACGGGGGCAGCGCATTGGCGCTGAAGATGGATGGACCATGCTGCCCCAGGGTGGGGACCAGTGATAAATCGCCAGGCCGCCACCGAGGCTCC